CCCCCCCCCCCCCCCCCCCCCCCAGTGTTTGACCCTGAGCTGTTTTACCTTGATGGAGAGAAACTCAGAGAAGTCTGTTGTTCGTTTCTTGCAGCAGGACCAACCCTGAAGAAAACAAAAAATGCACATGCACAAACATGAGCTGTGTGTTCAGACGTCACTCGTTTCATGTTTATGCTTCAACCTGATGATGAAATTCACCCAGCAGCCATAAAGACAAGGTGAAAACATGGTTGTATACACTTTGTACATGTATCAAAGAAACAACTGAAACAGGACATCTCTTCAAGTATTCAGACTTCTTGCAGCAGCACACAGTTTGATTCAGGTTCCTCTTGAACTCTCCTGAGATGTCTCGACTAAAGTCAACCTGACATTTAGAGCAACAGCTGAGTCATGAGCTCAAAGACTGGATTATTGTGAAACAAGTCTGAAGAAAACTACAAGGATGTCCTGAAAGTTCTCCAGATCTCAGCAGCCTTCATAATCTTCACCTGTTTAATGGTTGGCACAGCCAGGACTGGGTGCTCAGACTCACTGAGCAGTTAAAACACAAGGAACCTGCTGAGAGGTCACCAGGAACCTGATGGTCCATCTGAACTTCAGAGATCCTGTGTGGAGCTGGGACAACCAGAACTGCAGGTCTCCTCAGACATGGGCTTTATGGAAGTACTGAATCATCTCCATAGAGCTGTTTATTCCTGAAGGAGACTCAGCTCCTGCCAAACACCCTCCCAGCACTGAAGCATGGTGGGGTCAGCAGCAGGGACTGGGACACTGGTCAGAGATGAGTGAAGGCTGCACGAAGCAAAGAACGACCAAAGACCCACCTCCCAGCATAACGAACCAGAGCACCAGCAGTAAGCCGATGTCGCCCGTCACTGAAGGATTTGAACAGATAATGCTTGTAGTTTTGGAGATTAATGTTTTTCTGGACTTGAACAGGGAACGCAAGTAAACCTTAATGTTTGTGGTACAAAATGTGTCCCAGTGATGGACTGGAGACCTGTCCAGGGTGTCCCTTGCCTCTTGCACAGTGACTGCTGGACATGGGCACCAGTGACCCCAACAACCCAAAAATGAAGATCCAGGTAAATGGATGGATGGATGGATGGATGGATGGATGGATGGATGGATGGAGGGGGGGGGGGTCCTCCTCCAGAAAATGTTGAATATAGTAGATGTGTTTTTAAACGGGTTGTTAAACATCTGTTTACCTACAGTTGTAAACGCTCCGCTTCTGTCAAGCATCCTACCCCCCCCACTTGACTGCTCCGAGCCGACTCTTCTTCACCGTCCTTGTTTTGTTGTCCGACTCCACACATGAAACCCCCAGATGCCTCCTCCATCTGTTCATTACTGCTGCCGGGTACGACTGCCTGGTTAGCTGAGCACTCACCCCAGCATTCTTTTAGTGACGTAGATTTTGTCAAGGGTAGAAGTGAAAATGTTGCTTGAAGAGGCAGCTCGTATGTGATAATAAGAAGCTCGTTAGTGGCCGTTGTGTTTAAAACGAGTGTTTATATAAATCTTTTCAGTTTACATATCCAATATAAGTTTTATTTGTTCAAGACAGTCATATTTGTTCATAACTTTATTATTAGTAAGCTTGAGAGTTACTGGATCCAAGCAAACAGTTACTGGAACGCACCCTGTCAAAATAAGAGCATTACTGGATCCTGTTCTGGCAGGATCTGGATCAAATTAAGCACCGACTGGGGTGGCTGGTTTACTTGCACACAGCTATAGATTGGATTTTGACATGGTTTTTGATGGTGATCTTTCTTACGCAGCTGTGGCTGAGTGGTTAGAGCAGTCGTCATCCAATCTACGAGTTGGGGGTTCGATTCCACCAGCAGGCACATGCTGGAGTGTCCCTGAGCAAGACACTGAACCCCTCATTGCCTCTGATGAGAGTCCCATCAGTGTATGAATGTGATAAAGCACTGATTAGTCATTGTAGAGATCTAGTAGAGTGCTGTATGAATGAGGGCACAGATTGTAAAGAGCTTTGAGTGGCTTGATGAGATGCCGCCACAAACTAAAATGGAAGTCACTACCTCACCTATTTGTCAAGTTATTGTGCTCAACATTCTCAGATGGTCAGATGGATGGAGGGTATTCGGTGGCTGGGACAACAACACAGGAGCATTTTAGGGACAGCTCTGTCCTACATTGGTCCAACCAGTGTCCTGAGCTAAACCCAAACATCTCAGGAGAGACCTGAAAAGTTTAGGTTTACAGATCCTGATGCACTAAACCTAAAAAGACTCTAGACAGAACCTGCTGCCAAAGGTACAAATACTTGTACAAATGTCTCAGATTACTTGGAAGTTAGTAGCTGAAGTCAGCGTGAACGTGTTGAAGGTTTACCTTCAGGGCGTCATGGAAGATGGGAACTCCTGGATGAAAGAGGCAGGAATCTGTTGGTAGGAGAGGAGACGTCAGTCTGCATATAGAACCCCCAGGTCAGCAGAGAGGACCAGCTGCTCACACGTCACTGCTGTTCGAAGGGCCCAAATAAGGAGCAGTCCTTCAGGCTCACGGTGCTCAGAGTCCCTCACACATGGAAAGTTCTCAGATTCTCTCATTTCTATCAGATCATCACACGTTTGCATCTTTAAAGCCTTTGGTTAGATCTGATGTGCACATGAAGGCTCAAACACATGAGGTCCTGAGTCTGACACTGCTCCACAGCTGAGAGGCAAGAAGTGAAACAACACCTTCCAGCTCACTGTGTTGCTGTTTTGGAAAAATGGTGCCAAGCTACTAGTCAGGAGACACATGGCAACTTCAGGCCTCACAGTCCAACTTCATTAAGGTTTTAGAGAAACCCAACAAACGGACTCAGATGGTCCTGAGTCCATCCAACAGGACAGGGACACGAACTGGCAGCAGGGTCTTACCGTCCTTGTTCTTGTTGGGGTCAAACGTCTGTCCACAGCCTTTGTTGTAGCACAGCAGAGACATGTTGTCCTCTTGGTTGATGGGACGCAGTCCGTCTCTTCTTTACACTCCGGTGTTCAGATGTCCTCCACCTGACCCAGTGCGGCTCCTGGTCTTAATGCTGGGGTCGGACCTCCACAAGTTTCTCTGCTCAGGCAGAGAGAGATCCAGAAGGTCTGAGAGGAAAAAGGGGCTCCAGGCCTGGCTGAATGGAAGATAAAAATAGCAGCTGCTCTCCCCCCTCTGCTCAATTTACAGCTGCCAGAACTTATCTGGAGGTGGTGGGTGGACATTCCTCCTGGGGGGTGGTCACAAACAGGCCTGCTGCGGTGAGGAAGACCCGAAGCTTCTGGATCTGCTGCAGACCCCTGAGACCAGGAGTCCACAAAGATCATCAGACTTGTGTATTCTTGTTTCTGAGCTGGATGTGAGGAGGTCTACGTTTCCTGCATGAGTCTCTTTCTAAAGAGACCTTTAACTTGGACGTCTTATTTTATTACAACCACATTATCTTGCAGTTGACTTAAAAATTGTCAAATAAAACTATTTGTAATTAAAGGATCATCCTGTTTTTTTCAGATATATCTTTAAAAAAATACTGGTTTTATTGTATTTATCTCTGGGATTGATTTGCCACGAGTCTGTTTGTAACCAACTGGTGTAACTGGTGCTCAGCACCATCTTGTGATGCATCTAAGCAGCACAGGTTAATCACAGTGAATCAGTTCAACGCGCTCCGACGTACATCTTCATTGTTCAGCATTTAACCACATGTTGCACCTGTTCAGTCTAAAGTCAGGATGTTACACATTCATTTCATTACAAATCATATCAGCTAGGATTGACCAGATATTCTCAAGATATAAAACATTTGAACAAAACCCTCAATCATAAACTGAGAACTCCCTGAAGGAATGCACATCACACTCCACTTTTCATCCCAGTCTTGGATTATCTTCTGTTGAGAAATGACACATTTAAGGCTTTTATGAGTTTACTCGTTAAAATAATGTTAGGCTCAACTTCACATGTCATGAGGTCTGTGTTTGGGATGACTCAACTACCACCACCAGGGACACATGATATTGGTTTTTTGGCCAATATTCAATATGTTAAAACTTATTTGGCCGATAACTGATACAGATATTTCAAACATATGTTCCTTTGTCAGAACATAGCAGTCTTATTTAGGCTTATTTACTACAAAACTGTGCAACAGCTGTTAGAGCTGGTGACATATATTCAGTAACAGCCATATGTATAGCACTTTAACTTATATTAAATGAAAAGTGTTAAATGTTATTTATTAGCATTAGTCACCTGTGATGCTGTCTCACTTGTGGAGGCTTGTTCCAGGTTCCTAGCTGCAGTGTGGGATCCTCTGCACTCCTGTGCATGAAGGACAGACTTTTTAAGTTCAAAGTTTTTGTCTATCCATTGTGCTGTAAGACTAATCATGCTAATGAGGCTAACACAACGCCCAAATGTCTGTGGTGAAACTCACCCAAGTGCTATCAGCTATTAGCTTTTCAGTGATGTCGGAAATGACGACTTTTAACTCAGTAAGGCTACGTTGGAAAAATATCTCAGACTGGGGATGATGTAGCGAGGCTCAACGTAGTCCATAAATCTTCAGAATTCGACATCATCAACGAATAAAAACCTTCCATACCGTCAACATTTTAAATTTTCCTCTCCACCTTGATCAGATCAGGTAGGCGTGAATGATGTCATCACGTTGTGCTGCCGCTGCAGGCATCCTCGTCACTGGGTTGTCATACAAAACAGCGACTTTTATATTGGTGATTATTTATTTATTTATTTGGTGATTATTTTGATGGAATGGCCGATGTCCGATATTGAACTTTAACGCTAATATCGGCTGATACCGATACCATGCTGATAATATCGTGCATCCCTAACTACCACACCCAATTTTGGCTCAGTATCTGTAAAACTAAGTTAATGCCATTTTTGTGATGCTAAGATTGATGAACTGTGGGGGCCATTTTAAATAAGGTTGACTTTAAAACCAAAGACATTAAAGTAAATAAGTCTGTCATCTTTACCCACCACTTACTTTTCAGGTCATGGGGTCACTGGTGCCCATATCCAGCCATCACTGTGCCAGAGGCGGGAGACACCCTGGACAGGTCTCCAGTCCATCCCAGGGACACAGAGACAAACTAGACAAACAAACATTCACTCTCTCACTCACACCTAGAGGCAATTTAGAGTTACCAATCAGCCTAACATGCATGTTTTTGATCTGTGGGAGGAAACCCACACATGCACGGAGAGAACATGCAAACTCCACCCAGAAAGGTCCCTGGCTGGTATTTGATCCGGCAAACTTCTTGCTAAGAGGCAGCAGCTCTACCAACTGCACCACCACTAAACTATTATACATCAATAGAAATTACTCAGATAAGTGAGGACATTGTAGGACGTTGACCTTGATCTTAGAGTTGGGGCGGACAAGGGAAAGTTTACAGATGTACCAAGTTTATACAATAAAATGTCTAAAAAAAAAGCCCTTTGCGATTCTGGCCAAGCAAGCATTGCTTATTTTTATCAAAGTAATTAACGTTATTCAAGTTACTGGTCGGTGGTCACTGTTCAGACTGATTTAGTGCATTCTAACTCAAACACCATGTGTTTGGGTGAGACGCTGACATTATTGACTCGGGACAGAAGCCCTGTTGTTTGTCAAACACAGAATCTGAAGGATGGACTTCTCACCACAGACTACTCAGTCATAAACAGGAAATCCTGAACTACAACCAAATACATGAGCTCTGCGCTGCTTAGAGCCCCTTCATGTTGATGGAAACAAACAGTTTCATCTGTCAGAGCTCAGCAGCAGCCAGGAGGAGGATAAATGATGTGAAACCCCTCATTGTGAGAGTTAATGGAATAACAGACAAATCAGACATGTTTACAAGTCAACATGATTAAATTATACAGACAAACGTAGCCGAAACAGAGAACTATATGTACACGCTGGAGCTGGAGCGACAGAATGTTTCCCACAGTTTTAAAGGCTTTAAGGGTCATTAAAATAATTGCATCATTCAAGGTGGAAAGTAGTTCAAACTGTCTTGTTATAGATGTTTTACAGTAAAAACATTAAAGGTTTACTCATCATTTAGAGTCCACATAGGTCAAAGTCTCCTGAAACAAGGACGGACTGACCAAAAGAAAAAGAAATGACCATGTGGTCTGACAAATTCAAAAGTAAGACTACTCAAACACCACATGTGAAAGCCTAAAAAGGATATATATTTTTTTTAAAAATTGACATTTGTAATTTTATATTCTAAACACGTACCTGAATATTCCTTCTGATGTTTTACAGTTGGACAGTATTATCATCAGAAGTGCCTCAGTCTCAAAAGGAACATGGATTAAAGCAGAAAAAAAAGACTGACATTTGTTTTACACCTAGACATTACCTAAGAATACATGACCTTGGTAAAAGTACACAGGACCGTGTACATGACCTTGGCAAAAGAACACAGTATACTGTGTACATGACCTTGGTAAAAGTACACAGTATACTGTGAACATGACCTTGTTAAAACAAAGTACACAGTATACTGTGTACATGATCTTGTTAAAACAAAGCACACTGTATAGTGTGTACATGATCTTAGTAACAGTACACAGTATACTGTGTACATAACATTGGTAAAAGTACACCGTATACAGTGTGCATGACCTTGTTAAAACAAAGTACACAGTATACAGTGTGCATGACCTTGGTAAAACAAAGTACACAGTATACAGTGTACATGACCTTGGTAAAACAAAGTACACAGTATACTGTGTACATGATCTTGTGTAGTGAACTCGGCCTCCGACCAAAACCTGCCTCTGAGGACCTTCAACTACGCCAACATGCAGTTCATTTGTTAAAATTCAATCTTTGAGGAGTCATTGTAGATTAATGCTACCTTAAGTACCATAATCTACATTGGTCTCACAACGCTCAAGCGAACCTACTCGAACAATCCTATTTGGGGGTGGGGGGGTGGGGGCGCTAGCTAATCCTTCAGTTGAGTCTCGCCATAGACTCCAAAAACATTTAGCGGAAAACCAAAAAACCAAACCTCAAGTCATTTGTCTAAAAGGACAACAGACAATTGAACCAAACTATATTTTGCCATGTAAATCTAACTTAAACCAAGTTAGGAATGGAAAAATAGTTTGGAATGCCCTTCTATAGGTATAAATCCCTATATGAAAATTTTTCAGCATGACCCACCCTTTTAACTGGTAACTTTAGCTGATCCAAAACATGATAGCTTACACACCAGATGCATATAGGTTAAGGTCTTATGTAAAATCCCACTCATAAGCCCAACTAAAACCACATAAATGTATGACACATAGAACCAGAATGGCACCCACTGGGAACCACCAGCAGCAACCTTCGTCAAAGGGACCTACAACTCCAACATGGGTCTCCAACCTCCATCCAGTGGTCACCTCTGCAGTTCAATCGAGGGAACCCCTCTGCATGCTGATCAATCAACGCCTACAATCATTGTGGATTTATCGTTGTGGATTATATGACTTTTTCCAATGGATTACAGACTCTGTTTCCAAGGGGTTAAAGCATTGCTACAATGGAATTACCAACAACATTATGGAATTACCAACAACATTGTGGAATTACCTAAACCGTTGTGGGATTACCTTCGACTTTTGTTTTCCTCTTGCTGGATTACATCAAGATCAAGGATATTTGGAGGCGTTAGTTCATGTTGGAATTCATCCCCATGGACAAGCGATGATTTCCAAAGGGGGGACTGTAGTGAACTCGGCCTCCGACCAAAACCTGCCTCTGAGGACCTTCATGGGACAGGAACTGTTATTTCATTGATTTGAATCCAGAAATACAAATTAGCTCATCCAGAGACTTTCTAATTGTATCCTGAAGTAATCAATTGAAAGAACACTCTTCTTTTATATTATCATTACTATTTTACAATATCTTGATAAATCAAAAGTGTGTTTAGTTCATATCATTTCTAATGTTGAAGTGAACCACTCATTTTAAATCAACTGTGAAACAGTATTAATGATTTTTTTAATCCTCATTTAAATTAGAAATCAAGTTAAATGTCTATTTTACAAAGTAATTATGCATTTTTGATCTTCTGCCTAAATGAGAAGTAGTGATGTCGGTCGAAAGTCAGAAAG